AAAGTTCAATCTGTTTAGTATATATATTTGGATATTTGACCAAAGACACCAATGTGAGGATTTCAGAAAAAAAGTGCTGATGATGCAAATAAAAAAACAAACAACTGAGGTCACCATCTTAGCCAAGAAAACGATGATATATGACAGAGCTGGGAGTCAAACCCCCCAGTKCTGAGATTGGAAGCTGACCACTTTATCAGTGCATCCACATGCACCCTAAGAAAGATAGATGAAAGAGAAAAYAACTTTTACAAAAACAAACCACTTTTTTGTGGGCCTCTAATTTTCAAACTCCACAACCACCATAAAACAAGCCCCCTTACACGCCCGCGCTCTCCTTTCATCCTCTCCCACAATTCTTGTCAGCTCATTTACGCACTTCTGTATTCTGCCGTCCTCTTCTTTGCTCTTTGGATACCCTCTTCACTCAATCATCTCCTCAGACTCCGCTGCTCGTTTTTAGTCTCTCCTTCCTCTGTCTCTTCATTTGTCTCTGTCATACTTCTCTTCTTGCCTCTCACATTCACGGTACCCACTCTTGCTGTTCTCTTTCATTGCCTTTCTCTCCTTTTTAATTTTTACCTCCCAGGCTTCGCCCCTCATTTCACTTTCCTTCATTTTCACATAACCTTCTGCATTCAACCTGCCACTCATTTTCCAGTGGCTGATTCCTGCTTCCTCCCCCAACCTCCACCCTTTCCTGACCCAGTCACCTATTTTAGGAAGCATTCTTGTGCAGTTTTGAAAAGTTCACAAAAATGCAGTGGCTCATATTTCTTTAAATAGCACAAACCAAACAGAATTTTGTATAGCAGGGTGAAAACTTTTTGTGCTGACGGTAAACTATTAGGGCACCCGTGAAGCTATGATGCTAAAGACACTCAAATGTTCCCAAATCTTTCTGTTAGAAAGATTGACTGTAACATCAGATAAGTGTGCTTGCTCCATTTCACTCATGCATATACTTCAGAAAACATTTTTGTGTGCATCATAAGCAAAATACATCATATACCAACTTTAGTTTCACAAGGCACTGAGCAAAATGGCCATCTACATTTTAATGACAAAGTCTAATTTATTTATAGCCCCAGCAAATTATTACAGCAAACTCTTGATATTTTTCGCAACACTGAAATCCACATGGCTGTCTCATTTCTGCTGATAGCAACACTATGCTAATGGTGTATATGAATTTTATGTGCACCTTTCCAAACAAGCCCATCACAGAGCAGTTTAGGCGGATGTGTCGGRGGGGAAAGCATACCGTTTGTGTCGAGGTATTTATGCATATTCGTGCAGCATGCAAATGTTTCTTTTCAGAAGATTGTTTGCATGGTTATCTTTGACAGGAGTAAATATGCTGACCTTATGCGTGCTTTTAACTGCTTAAAATCTTCCAAAAGTCACTGCAATTTTACATTAAAGTCGCTGGCATTTCTCTGGAAGGCAGCATGCCATCAAATAATAACCACAAGTAATAACCTGCTTTTAGAAAACAAAGTTTGTGCTTTGTTCAAGCAGAAGTAAATACGCACTTGTGTAAATTGTAATGTATTTTTAGGACTAAAACAGAAATGGACTGATAAAAACTAACTTTATTAGCAAAACAATTTTGGCAAATCCTTAAAAGAGACAAAAAGATGTACTGCAGATTTTGGGGAAACTCTGCTATTAATTTAAATTTTTATTTACAGCTTATCAAGAATGAAGTGCCTGGCACTGAAAGACAAATAAATCTGCTAAACAGATACAATAACTGGAGAAAATAAGAAAAAAAAGAAAGAAAGAAACTGAAACACAAATTGCAGGTGATTGCCCCTAATGGGGGCATTTTGGAGAGGCATTTAAGACAGCTACTTAAGAACATTTACCCTGCAAAGTAAAGCCAAACTAGGCCATAATGCAATACTGAGAACATTAAAAACATAGTGGTCAACTTTTCAGTTTGTAAATTAATTTAATGGGCAGCCTGTGTAACCTTAAAGCACAACACAAGGTATTTTATTTGAGGTGTTTTAGCTAAAAGAGAGTTTTTCCACACAAAAACACAAAACATGAAGTATAATCAGCAATTTATAGAATATGTTCATCGATAAGGAAGAAACACTACTAATTAACTCTGACTCGATGTGAGGTAGAATAATGTGAAAATAAAAAAAATAAATTTGGAGAAATGTAAAGCTCAAATCAACTTACAACATCTGTCTGAAGGAACAAAAAAACCTGATAAAACTTTGAAGGATCACAGCTTTTCAGAACACCACATTTTAACTCTTGAGAACATCTCTTTCAGACACTGACAAACACTTCCTCTTTCTCTAATTTAAGGTAAAATCAACTTGGAAAAGCAGATGGGATTCCCTGAGGGACCAGAGGTAAAATATTCAATTTTAAGATGGGTGCAGTGCGCCCCAAGACAGACACAGCTGCAAATCTGTAATAAATGAAACTCCCAGGAAGATGTGCCCACATTAGGAGAAGAAGCCTGGTAGAGGTGAGATTTAGGTTCAAGTTTATACAGTATATGCAAAATATTACAAATACTTTTTTTGTTTAAATATTTTCTATCATAAAAATATAAAAATCCAATTGGAAAAGTCCTGACCCATATTTTTATTATATATGACATAAAGGCTGATTCATACTCTGTAAGACATTGGGATAATTGTTTTTATTGTTGCATTACAGAAATTATGTTTCTCACACCATGTCTTTCTTCTCGTTGGGGCGTGCGCCAAATAATGTGCGAGTTGTCACAACTTTGTGTGCGTCTTTATCACCTGACAAAGTCATGATGATTGCAATTTAAAAGCGCGACTTTTTTTTCTTTCTTTTTTTGGCTTTTGAGAGGCAGCTTTTAACTCAACTAGACATCTTTTTTGTTTTTAGTTGCGGTTCTTGTTCGGCCCCCTGTGATTCCTCAAACATTAGTCATCTGTGGTCAAACTTGAAATAAGAATTGCTAAAATGTGGGACTGGAAAGTTAATTTATTAGACAGATAATTCATTGATAGAATATTCATTGATGCAACACCTAAAACCCAAGAAGAGCCCTGTAAAATCTAACACTTTTAAATTTATACCTGAGTCATTAACAAACAGACAAACTGCTTAATGTACAGTTACACCCAGCAAAACCAGCTCTGTGATCAATACCCTGTCATGATTTGCATTGCGCTTAACAACAACGATTAAAGTCTGRTTTCTGACAATGTAATAGGGGGAAAAGTACAGCATTATGCTGTTTATCACTGACAGCGGGCCATAAATCTGTGTCTTCCCCCGAGGATCTTAAATAGCAGCAGCTGGCTATATAAGTGTTCAAATGGGTCTCGTCTGCAGCCCTGGGACCTGCTTTGACTGTGTTCTAAACAAGGAATGTTAATCAAATAAAAAGTCTGCGTGTAACACTGAGTCGCATGCACTATCCAGAGTTGTCCCAAGTGATGCAGAATAATGCATTTAATGTGTTTTGGCTGTATGAGAAAATGTATTTCTCCCAGATGCTCGCAGCAATAGAGAGACTACGGGCAGGGAGGAGAGGAGACGGCGAGAACAAAAGACAAATATGAAACAAACGTATTTGGAAACAAGACACATGAGGGGGGAAATGAAGGAGGAGGACAAATAACCAACAGGGAAAAAGAGGGATGAGAGAATAGTTAAAGAATGACAGGAGAGGAAGGAGGAGAAAAGCCAGTGTTTGCAAATTCCAGATTACAAGAGAAAGCTGCTAAACCCAAGAATATGTCTCACAGGAAATAAAAGCTTTGAAGCACATAACTCTGGTACGAGGAAAACAGGTGGATAGGACCATTTTGTGAACCCCTGCTGTCAGGTACAGCTGTGAAAAATGAAACAAAGCCGTTTTTTCTTTAACACACAAGTAAGACTATACATATATTAATGATAGATGAGAGCTGACAAGAATGTAAAGCAACAAAAACTTCAAAAAGCAAGTTTTTCTCATTTTCTGATGCTTCAGTTACACGACTGAAATAGGATAAAAACTGATCCTGTATTGATCATTAGATGGTTTGCAGATAAAGGAAATATGAGAAACATTTCATGTGTGATACATAAATTATCACATCCTATTATTCTGAAATTCAGATCTACATATTTTGTTAGTACAGCATTCCAAATGATTTTACCAGCAGCTTGCTGCCTTCCTGTAGGCTAAACGCTTAAATAAAACATTGTCACAACTCATCATTACTCTTTTTGCAAGATTAATTTTATACTCATGAAATATATATTCAAATATATTACTGTGGCTTATTTTCTGTGATGACTGACACACCTGTCAGAAGCCCTGCACACCTTATTGCAGTTTCCAGGGACTTGATGTGTGCTTACTTGCATTTCTTTATAGCTGCTCTGCAGCATTTCTCTGTGCATTACTGCCCCCTCCTCCTGGTTCCCCACTCATATGTCCTTACTGCATGTCAATACCTTTCTTCCATCACTTGTTGTTTTCCTCCTTCTGACTTTTTCCAGGTAYCTCTGCTCCTGGAGCATTTCTTTTGTGATGTTGTGTCTCTTTCTTTAATCTCGTAGCAGTGGACACCCTACATATGCTTTTGCTAAACTATTTATTTTTCTGGTGTTTGTATTATTTTTGTAACCAAAAAAAAAAAAGAAGAAGAAAAAGGTTTCATAAGTTTTTGCCCATTCTTTAGTTCTGTCACTTCAAAMCTAATGAACTATTAAAGAGATTTATGATGTCTTTGAAATCTAGCCAGTATTTGGTGTGCTAACAAGGGAAACTGAATAAAAGAAGTGCTAACGTATACTTGCTAAGACATTTGCCATGAATAGAACTTTTACKGAGCTTCATTTATATTCATCAATAWACATCAGATCTTTAGGGGAGGTGTGAAAGTAGCAGAAAAGGATTTCTACATAGTGCCAAGATTTTTGTTCCAGTAAGAAATACTTCACATTTTATTAATGATGTACTGAAGGTAAAGTGGTAAATACAAACACTACAAACTCACCCCCCTGATCCGTGCTGACGGTGATGATGGCTGCCTGCCGAGGGAAGGAGCTCAGGTCCGACACGCCGTTCTGTGACTCAATCTCAAAGGTGTAGTTGGCGTGCGCCGAGAAGTCCACGACGGTGACGGTGGCGTTGGTCAAACCCAACGGCCGAGGAAGGAAGCGGAGCTCCTCCTCACACAGCTGGCACTGGTTGGGCTCGGGGCCACAGCGTTTGCACAGGACATTGTAAGTGAGGTCCCTCCGGCCCCCGGTGTCACTGGGAGGTGACCACTCCAGCATCAGGCAGGTGTCGTTCATGTTAAACATCAGATTACGAGGAGAAGACGGAGGGCCTGGCAAGGAAAACAAAGTGAACTGAGTGACTGAAAAACAAACAAGATTGAACACACTTGTCACAAACATTTAAAATCAAATTAATAAACTTTTTATTAGATCATTTTGATAAAAAATTGAAACGAATGCAATCAAGAACACTGAAGTATTGATTAAGGTATACTAACTACTACCTGACAGAAGTAAATGTATATAATTAGCACCAGTGGCAGATCTAGAATTTTGCACACAAATCCCCAGTTTTGGTAAGGTGTATACATTTAACCAGTCAGCCATGTTCAAAACACTTATTGTAATGTAATGTCATTTAAAAAAGTTTGCACAATTAATTCTTCTTACCAATATTGCATACATTTTTATGTTATACAAACACTCTCAAACACACAGCATGTGAGGAAATCCTGCCATTGTTTGTCAGTTGAAAGAATTATATAAAKGATTGTTTAGTTTTCTTAAGAGAAGCTTGATTAATGCTAGACTTTGCTATTTGACTCATTAGCGCCACTAGTGTTTAGATATGGAACTGCATCCACCATCATCACTCTCACTCAAAAGACAGATGTGTGACAGGACAGGGGCACTTCAGACCAATCAGATTTCAGCTGGGGGCAATGCCTCAGTGGCTCTGCCCCTTACCACAAAAAGTAAGGACATTTATGTTTGGTAGATTATTGCTTTGTTGTAACAATGCTTCTTGGCAATAAATCGTATACTGTGCACCTGATCGGCAGCACCTGGGGGTACCAGAAGCTCAACACAAGTGTCAATAGCWACAGAAAACARGCTGTTTGGCAATGGCAGAGACAATTWGTCATTTTTTTTTCATTTTTCAGTCCATATAGTCAGCTCTACTGCTTATCCCACAAATGCATGCTCCTTACAAGYGTGGCATTAAATTAACAGGCTTTCCAACAGTATAAGATTTATTGCCAAGAAGTATTGTTGCAACAAAGGAATAATCTACCAAACACACATTTCCTTAGTTTTTATGCTAAGTTTTCATTTAGGCTGTTATGATACATTCCTACACCCAAATATGTTCAAAAGGCAAATATAACACAGAAATGTATTTATTTTTGAAGAAAAAAAGATAATACAACCACCAGCTGAATTGTTTGTTTGGATCTGTACACAACACAACAACTCGTACATTAGTTTTATGTACCCTAATGCATTCTCCCCTTGAGTGTAAAATAATTTATTTTATTGCTTTACTGGAATCACCCCCCCCACCCAAACAAAACAGCAAGTATGAGTAAATTTCAGGATCTATCCACTCTATTCTGATGTCATCTATGCAATCTATCAGTCACCTGGCAGCTCAGTCTCCCCACCATCAATTTAAACACAATGATAATCCTATCTAATCACATCTATTCATGATGTTCTGTTTATTCAAGAGACTTTACATCACTTAAGCCCCCAAAATAAAACAAAACATCCCACCATCACTGTCTGCATATAAATCCTCATATTCCCTCTTMGCTGCAGCAAACAGTTCAAGTTCCTTTACCTCCCTTGCATTCCGCTTTGTTGTGGTATTTCTGTGCTCCCTGGATGTGCACGTTTGTGTGTCGGGGTAAGCATTGTGCTGTAGCAGGCAGCCAGCTGTCAACAGGGTGGAGTTAAAAGGCCTGAGGGATTTGAACACTCCCATCCTGCCAAGCTCACTGTCTGCCAGGACAATGGGATGTTTCCCTCTCCTCCGCCAGCCCTCCCTCTCGTTMCCTCCCTACCACTGCTAAAAATCTCAGCAGACAGGTGAGCCCCTCCTACCGCTTCACCACCTCTGTCAGTGTGTCCATTCTCTCCCTTTATCTCCCCCTGCCTCCATCGGCCATTATCTCACCTCCTCTATTCTCTCCGTYGAAGAGAATCCACCCACCTACCATSCTGCAGAGCAACCCCACTGCCATCCATCAGCCCCCATTCTCCTCTGGGGGGGAGATAGGTATCTGCACCCTCCATCCTTCCCCTCTTCACACTGTCTACTCCATCCAGCCCTTACACCTTCCCTCYACCTTTATCTCTCCTCGTGACACGTTCTCTTTCATCCCCTCTACCTTTGTCTTACTCTCACCCTTTAATCTACACTGTGCTTTTTCTTTCTGTCGACTTCAACATCAAGCAAATAGTTTATGTACAGCCTTCCAAGCCTCTAATTAAAAAGCATTATGTGAGCAAGCACAGAGCTCGACGCTTGTAAAAGTAAATGTGGTGCAGAGCTGAACTCCTTTTAGTTTGTCTGAACCCCAGAAGACGTTTCACGCTCAGTTTGCAACGGGAGCCTTGAAGATTTAGTTTGTTTGTGCCCAGAAACAAACAACAAAACAAACAAACAGCTGTTGGTAAGACACAAACAGCACACTTAATTACAAGTTTTCACACTAAGCCAGGTTTGAAGTTGCCGCAAGTGAGCATCGGGGTCCACTTGTTCCGATTGTACTTAAATGCTCTCCAAAACTTAATTTAGAACTACAGCCACGTTTAGAGTAAACCAGCTCATGTTAAAATTAAATTAGAATTCATCCCAATATCAGCCTTGAAACAAACAAAATGCATTTCATATTTTGCATCAAAACCTGCATAAAATAGTAATCGATATCTTATTGTAGCGCGACGTCACCAACACTGTGCTGCTTCAGCAAAATATCTAATAGTTGGATTGAATGTTATTTTATTCAAGCAATGTACTGTATCACCTTAAAAAGTCCATATATCACAGCATCTTCTCAAAGCAATGAGATTAGAGATTACTTAGACATTTATTGATTTCATGGGAGGAATTGTTCARTGCTGTCTGACCATGATGTATGTTTTTATTTATTTTCAGTATCTGGCCCCGCCCCAGGTTATTTCTACACTTGCAAAGTTTATGCTGGCAAACCGTTGGCCAATTTGGCGCTCTAGGCAAGAATTCAGGTGGCGTGCCCTTGTGCAATTTTCTAAATCTCACTGCCACTTTATTCATGCCAAATTAAATAGTTTCGTCTTTGGTACTAAATCTTTAGAAACAAAGTTTTATGAAGGTAGAACACTGAAAACCTGAACTTTATCTGATGTATCTTTYATTTTGTTTTTATTTACACACTWAGSACCAGTGTTTAGTCTTGACTGCRTCAGATGCTACTTTTATATTAGATTTTTATAAGCAGCTGAGAAACCCACAGAAYAAGCTGCCTTCATGAACTTGAGTGTCCAGTGATTATTCTACAGACTAAATCAACTATACTTTGATAAAATCTTATCAAATATTTTTTTCGTCCCCCATTTGTGGTGCTCCCTAGATGGACTCCCTTAGCGTTTGCTCACACTGCCTATGCCGCAGGTCTGCCCTCAAGATAAGCACTCAAGTAATTGTCCAAATCAGATTTTGAACTATAAGGTTTAAATGCAGATGCCCCTATATGTGTCACCTCATTCTGATTTTTTTGAGAGAAGCGTTTGGTGAAAACCTTTGTCAAAAATTTCCTCAGTAAAGACCACATACTATAAACTAAAAGCGTCTAAACAATGACTTAGCTTTGTCTCGTCATAAAAGACAAACACACGCTTCCACCCCTGGAGAGCTCTCAGACGTGGCCCCCGTCTATCTCAGTGACAGCTAAATGGCTTTTTAATTAAAGGAGAATTAGTCCGGTTAAACTGTAATTTAATGCAAATATGAAGTCGTAATGACAGTCTGTGAATCATCGATGAAGACAAGGCAGCTGAACAAAAGCTATGTAATTCATCCAGAGACTCTCTAATGTTCACTTTCACACCAGATAAGTCCCAAAGACGAGACGGGATTTATGACCACTGTGAATTCTAGAGATCCACCAGCTCTGCAGACAAAGTAATAACTTACCAAGACTGTCAGGCACACACAAGTATCTGAAGATTTATTTTGAATTTACACTGAATTAATTAATGTTTAATCAGCTCAAAAACACAAAATGACTATTTCTATCTGTAATAATACTGACAATGCTGACTGCAAGGCTGTAAGTTCTCCTTTGTAAAATCAATGGGGTTAAACTTTTCATTTTTGCTTTCATGAATAAATGCTTGCAGCGATAGCYGCCTGTCTGCAAAGTTTGCAAAATTAGTTAAGGTCTTATTCTGGCTGCAAAGGCTCAYAGGATCTGGAAGCAGATATCGAGCCAGATTTCTTTGAGGGGTGAACTTACGTGTACAAGCCATAGTTGGAGGATCTTTCACGGCCCTGAAGAAGCCCTTTTCGCAGCGGCAGATTGAGGCTCCTTCACCGTAGCTGAAACTGTGTGGAGGACACTTTGAACACTTGAGGTTTCCTGCGTACGCCTTGTAGAAGCCTGGGCGGCATGCTGCAGGGGGACAAAAAAGACCACAAGTTGTATATCTGTTAATTTCATAGCTTCGATAACAAGCACAGAAAAAAAAAAGAAACATTTTTAGAACTAAATGATTAAAAAACATCACAGAGGGTCTAAAATAGTTTGATTCATGAGGCTTTTTTTAAACCAGACACTGCGGATGATTTGTTACACAAAGCCTTCTTGGAACTCATCCATGAAAATAGCTTGGAAAAGTGCAAGCACTTCCATAAAATACCTGGGAAGTGAACGCATGAAGCATCTGTCRCCATCACAAACGTTCCTCAAACAATCTGATCTGCAGATCAGCAGATAAATCAAACCTGGGTTACACTTTAAAATGGAGGGMTGCAAAAWACTTTGAAAATGATTTGCCTACAGRWAATTTGTGCACTATTGCTTCATGTAGGCCCAGATGGCTTCTGTGGCCTGAGAATCATATCAATCAATGTCTAAGACTTCAAGGCAAAGGACCTGTTCAGCACCATAATATCTCCCTGTTTCTTCAAAACTGATTCACAAGTTAACACCTGATTATAATCACTACGAGACAAATCCAAACTAATGACATTTAAATGAACATTATCAGATATTCTGATTATTTACTAAGGGTGCAATGATACGTAAAATTCATGATTTGGTTYGGTTCGATACTTTAGTCTCACGGTTCTATATTTTTTTCAATACAAAAAAAATGTTTCTATGCCCTTCCTAACTTGTAATTATGAGCATTTGTTTAACCTCAAAAGTACAGTTTTTAAATTAAATGTCGCTGAAACAGCAAGTTTCTCAGTGGTTCTGTGCTCAACAATGCAGCCTAAGTAGATCAATACTGAGCCTTYAATACARAGCATCTTCAGAAGACMAGTTGATAAAATAAATGACAAAAATCTGTATTGTTAAATACACAGTGCTTATTGAACCTAAAGCACTATATTAAACGGTTTGACACAGACACATGTATTGTTGCATCTCTATTATTTACCAATGATTTTTTTCACTATTGTCCTTTTAAAATACCTTTTTTTTCTTGCACTTGTTTGCTCGACCATGTTGCAAAAGACCTGGGCATCCGTTCTCCCCAATGTTTGTTATGTGTGTGTAATACGAATGGGTGTTCTTGCAAAATCCTAGTCTGTGTATTCACTGACAATGGCAATAAAACTGATTCTGGTTCTGATTAAAACAACAAGACTTGCCAAAAAATATTAAATGACTCAAGTGTTGTTAATCATTAGCAAATGTACATATCTTTTTCACATGATCGTAATTATTTACAAGTTGCTTATAAATTATCTGTTTATACCTATAAGTGCTTTATAACAAAACATTTTTACAAACCTTTACTGAAGTCATAGAGAAGGAAGGAAAAAAGAATTAAAACCAGTWTATTTAGCCAGAAAAATGAAGTAATAAAAAGTAGTTTTGCTGTTCTTGATTTGACAAAATTCYTGTCCATCTTTGGTTTGCTTCAGTAAAGCATCATGCTGGGTTTAAATAACTAMGGTACTCTTCAACCAGAAACACTGTTGGAAGATGTAGTCACTGGTTTCTAACTTAAGTATATAAAAATAAATCCAGCCACCTGGCGCAGGGAGCATGTAATTAAAACTACAAACATTTTTTTGACGAATAAAATGGTGAACAAAATCCAAATTTTCTAAGAAAACACAAAAGTAGCCTACTAAAAACCAATTGTACCTCAACGGCTGGTTAAAACAAACACCACACCCTCCATTAATTTGTCGGAGTGTGAAACAAGTTCCTCCTAAATATTCTCTGTGGGGTTAATGTCTGAAAAAAATCCCAAGGTAGTCTGAAAGATAACATTTTTCACAAGTTGAGTGAAATTTCACGAGTGCAATTTAAAACACGTCTAGGGGGACAGCTCAAGTGTGTTTTTCCTGTTCAGTTTGCCTCAACATGTAGAAAATGTCTGCGGAGGATATAGAATTAAAGTGACATATGTTCTAATGAGTTTAAGGATGTAATGACGCAGCAGTACKATTAATAGCTTACACACACACTTGTTTAGCAGATTGCAGGAATCCAAAAATTGTGTTTTCCATCTGTCATGTATTTCTGACATATTTTGCTGTGTTTGAACAGGTTTGCCATTTTCATATTGACTTCTCATTTGTGCTATCCCAGCAGCTGCTTTCACAAACTAAATGGTTTTATGAGACTGCTTTGGTTTGGCATTTGTCTGATAATGAAGTTAATGAAAATCCTACATCTATAAGCAGAAATTGTAATGTATATTTCATTACTGCAGCACCTAATCACTCACATAATAAGTCCAAACAATCCTTCCTTAACCAGTTGGGACGGTGACTCAGCATCAGCAGCATTTTGTTTTATATATATTTTTGTGCTTGAAAAGATGAGTTCTGATTATTAAAATAAATCATGCACCTTCAGAGCTTTTTCACAGATGCTGATGTTTCACAGAGAACAGCGAAGAAGCAAAGCAGTTGTTTCATTTTCACCTGAAGTTCTTGTTGGCTCGCAGTGACGCCGCCATGTTGTCGTCACTCATTAGCCTACCTGACTTTATCGCCTCTAAGTGTTATAATTAGTGCATCTGAAACTATGAAACTTCACAAGATCTGTTGTGAAAATACTATAAACAACACATTTCTGTCACTGAGCAAATACACTCGAGTCATTTCAGTAAYAAAGCAGTTTCAGCACAATGTTAGAGTTTAGACGTCAGAACCAAACATCCACACTTCTGTTCACATTTACAGTTAGACAATGTTGTATAAAGTACCTCAAAGTGATACTTGAGTAAAAGTACAAGTATCTTATCATAAAAATACTTTGGTAAAAGTTAAAGTCTTCTCTAAAAATATTACTTAAGTAAAAGTTTTAAAGTATCTGATATTTTTTGTATTTAAGTATCAAAAGTAAATTTTTGACACAAAATTCTACTTAAGTATTAAAAGTAAAAAGTGCTGAGTAAAAGTGAGCAGTTAGATTTTCCAAAATGACATTTATTGGGAGGTGACTTCTCCAAAAAATTTTTTTTCTAACAGTGTGCAGCTGTGATGGGTTGTGTACAAGCTAATAGGGTGTCAGAATGGTGTATATTTTTACTTCTCATCCAACCACAATTAAATTCACTCTATCCAGGAGACACAGTTTATCAGGATAGTATTTTTTTAAGTAATAACTTGGAATAAAGCAGTAGTAACAACTTTCTACTTCTTACCTTTTCAAAAAATGTAGTGAGTAGATAATTGTGTAAAAACGTAATGAGTAAAAGTAAAAAGTACGCTGAAAAATAATTACTCAAGTAAAGTACAGATAACCAAAATTTCTGCTTAAGTACAGTAACAAAGTATTTGTACTTAGTTACTTTCCAACTCTGTAAACAGACCTGTGGGTTTTTATTCAACAAAGTAATCTRATTAAAATATGTTCTTAGTTTAAATAGAAAGAAACCTTTGTGTCAGTTTTACTTCCTGTAACTCCCTGATCAACGGTTTTCACAGGTGGATGTTGGAGGAGCTGACAGGAAGCAGGCAGAGAGCAGCAGACAGGTAATAGCAGCCATTGTGGCTGCAGTACAGACGTAGAATGAACATTTTGCAGCTTAAATAGCCCACCCAAATTGGAAAGGAGGTAGATCATGTGTGAAGCAGCAGCACAGCTTGAATTGTCTGTCTGAATTAGCTCACAGGTGTCGCCTAATTAGTTTAAACAGCTCCAGCCATTTAAACATGATGCTAAGAGGAAKTTCTTTTCTTGATTTAATAAGGACTTTGCAAAATGTTTGTAAATAATGAAGTTGTTTGAATTTATCAAAAAAAAATGGAAAAGCAGCTCTGCAAGCATTATTCATTTATCTGAAAGTGCATCAAAAAGTCTCCATTGTTAGATATAAAACAATAAATTTAATTGATTTTCAATATTTTTTTTAATTGGAAAACAATTATCATTGTTTTTTATCTATCAGTGGAGAAGTTTTGATGCATTTTCAAAAAAATAAATAAATAAAAATATATAAAAGTGAACAAGAAGTTATAAACCATTTACAGGTTTGGACATTTGAAACAAACTGCATCCTTTTTCTGTTGATAACGGTTTCAACCTATGAGCAATTCAAGTTTATAAAGCCGATAATGCAAAAGTCTCCAGCCTTTTGAGATTTCCATTGCTGCTGCTCGTCACTAACCTTATTGATTTAACAAGCTAACACAAACTGAGCTATTTGAAGGGATTCACCTTGAGGCATTGACTGTCTTTGTGTGTGTCTCCATTGATAAATGAGGCTGAGGAGCGAACAAGGGAGGGCCTGAAACCACAGCTTGAACTGATCAAACGGGGGCAATTAGAACACAAACAGACAGAGAAGGTTAACACAAAACGACAGAAAGAAACACGCTCACCGTGCAGGCCGACACCTTTTTTTGTGTGTGGGAGGAAGCTTTTTAAAGATTGCCGACTAAAACCAGGATTTGAGTTTAAAATATATATCTGATTCAAGCCCAAGGTGATGACACTCTGACCCTGAGTGTCTGGAGAGGGGAAAAAAGTTTGAACGCACTTAAGAAATGTTTAACTCCAAAATTCCCAAACAAAATACTGGCCTTCAAATCATTTCTTGAATATGGACACAAACACATTCAGCAYACACAGCTGATCTGTGTTGCTATGATAAGTGACATTCCCTGTAGCGTACCAAGGCTGCCTCCGTCATTAACCTCTGATACCAACATGTCCTTGAGCCAAAAATCGTCAGTCAACTGCCCCACCCCGGTAGACCCTGTTTTAGACTCTGTCAACCTAATGATGCCTCAGCTCGACCTTCGCTGAACTGAGGCGATTTTCGTTTTTTCGAACCTCGCAGCGTCGCGCTGCAATCTGTCTGCTGGAGCTTTGTTCCAAGGCCAGACTGCTGCTGCACAATGGCTGACCATGCGTCACCTGAGGAGGAGCTTGCAGAGCGATATTTGCACACACACACACACGGTTGTGCGTGCACA